GGAGACCATTAGGAAACTGAAAAAAACAGGGCCAACAGACTTCCCTTCGGCTGCCCAGAAAACATCCCAAATGTGTCCATGACATGACCAGAAGTCAGCTCAACTTGAAGGAGATTTCACTTAAGTTTCAAAAAAATAAAAACAATACATTTGTCCACATGCAACCGATTAATTGGAGCACCTTATATGAAGTTTATTTAGAAGATTTGGGATGGATTAATGGCTGTAGCAATCTAACGCTTCCCACAAAGGAAAGAGTCGAGGGCCGCAGCCTCGCCTTGACCCGTCCGTGGGTTGCCGCACCGGAGCGTCTCTTTCCGAGAACTACGCTCCGGGCGTGGAGCCCAGGCCACGCGCAGGTGCAGCTCCTGTAACCCAGGGCCATCTTTTCTCCTCTTTCTTCCCAAAAGCCCTCCAAAAGAGCAACCCGTGCATGCTCGCAGCCGTGACGGCATCCCCTCGTTCCTCCGTGATGGTCCATGGTACCGGCCCCGCTCGACCAGCCGCAGGAACGCCGCTCTTCCTGGGAGTTTACTGGGAATACCCTGCCAAGCGAAGGAAGATCAGCAGTCCCGGTTCAGGCCCGAGACCAGCTCAGGATTCCAGATGGCTTGGAAGAGTCCCCAAAGCATCCCTGCCCTCCTCAGAGCATGCGGGGCGCCAAGCAGGCCCAGCAAAATCACACCACACCCTAAAAGGAAATGGGGGTGCCTCTGGACAGCTGGACCACCGGGGAGCCTCCCTGAGGACTGCGCCAGGAGGCCAGGTGCCTGCTTTCCCCCCACTGCCAGGGAAACAGACCAAGCGGGGTGTTTGATTGCATGCACACTTATAGGCGTTTCTTCCCAAGGGCTCCCCTAGTGGTCTCCCATCCCAAGCCCCTGCCCCTTCCCTTTCAGCTAGCAGCTATCCCCAGGCGTCGCGAGGAAAGCAACAGGAGGCCGCCTGGGCCTCTTCGCTCCCGCCTCCCTCGCCGTGGGGCTGAAGCAGAGGAGGGAAGAGGCTCTTCGGTGCCGCCTAATAGGATTTGCAGGTTGCCCTGAGCAATAGAGAGGCTGTGGCCGAGAGAACAGGCCTGCCGGGCAGCTGGAAATCCGAAGGAGGCCATCTGTCACGGGGTCCTCGTAAGACCTGGCCACCTTGACGGCGGATCCCTGAAGGGCAGGAACCTGTCTGCCAGCAGCCCATTTTCTGCTCGCCATTAAGATCCCTCCAGCATGCAAGGCCCGGACACAAGTGGCCCCGGGACCCCCCCCCCCGTGACACTTACAGGGCACTGCGATGCCTACGGGAGTGGGGCAGCAGCGGGGTGACATCTGCAAGGGCAGAGGGGTACAGGGGAAGGAGTAAGGAGGGAAATATGGGCCAGGCCGCTTGGGGAAGGCAGACAAATCCTGTGGGTGTGCGCACGTGAGAAGGGGGAGTCGGGAAGGCTTCCAACAGACACAGCGACTCAGATAAACAGGGCCTGGGGCTTCTGGACACACGCTCTCTATCCCAAACTGCACTGTTGAGGTCACGGCAGAACCTCACCTGCCTGGGCCCCCCGAAGTGGGCAAACGTGATAAATATGGGGTACACTCCAAGGGCTCCCCAGGGGCCTCTGTGCATTTTCCTCTCTCAACCTAAATTACCCCCTGGAGGCCTCTGGGGACTGTGCCCATGGCTGCCCTGGGGGAAAGGGAGCCCTTCGCACGCAGCCACTGACCCCCCCCCAGTTTCCTCCTGCCAGGGCAGAAAGGGGCTCCAGGGAGAAAAGGCCCCTCCCACCCAACCGGCACCAGGCAAAGCCCGCCTCCGAATTCCGAGCCACCAATCAGCACCAGGCCCCCCAGGAAAACCAGGGGAAAGGGCTCCCCAAAGCCTCGAAGAAACCACTCCAGGCTGCCTTTATTGGGGGGGGGGCTTCTTGGCCGCAGAGAAAAAAAATGTGCTGCCTTCGGGAGATGCTTTTGGAGTGAAAGAAATGTTGTTTGTTATTTGTTGTATTAATGTTTTTAATCCGCCCAAGAACAGTGGTTATTTCTCGAAAGTGAAGTATTTTTAAGTGAAAGTACTTAAAAGATTACACATTCAGAGTAAAACAAAATGATTAGCCCTGGAAAAGAAAATTACGCCACATCTAAAAACTACCATCCTAGCACAGTGGAGAGTAATTAAAAATGGCACAGCTGAGCTGCGAAGAACCTGGGCCACCAAGGAGAAGGGGCCGTCTCTGCCAGAGGTCCAAACGTCCGCCTGGTGGGCACCGTGCCCTCCGGGAGAGGGCGGATCCCACAGACGGCGCGACGGAGCTCAGCCTCCCACCGAAGTCCCTCTCTCGCAGGGCTGTGCTGGGTCTCTGGCAGGTGGCCATTAAAGATCAGCGTCAACACCCAGAACTCAACTCAGAAGATTGGGGGGGGGGGGGTTGTCATTCAGCCAGATTGGCTCGTCCCACTTAATAAACTGCGCCACTCTGTGGGACCAGGCTAATTTTCCAAACGGTCTTTCAGGGCGCTCGCTGATCCCGCTCCGATAAGATGCGTGGAGGCACCTGAGTGGCTCAGGAGCACACCTCCCCGTTCCTAATCTCTGGACAGGCTGGACCCCACCCAGCACCTATCTCGGGTTGGGTTTTGGTTCACGGGCCTCCTCCAGTCCAAGGGCTGCCTCAGGACCCGCTTCGGAGGGTGAACTGGGCCCGAGCGTGCGTAGCCCATCCTCTGCCCTCAGACGCACGCCGGGGGCAGGCAGGCTTCACTGCTGAAGTCCACGCTGAGCAGAGGAACCTTTCTGTTTACCTGTACTTGCATTGGGCTTTTGAAAGAAATTCCAATTTCCATTTCTGTCATGGCAAGAGCAGGAGAAAATACCTCTCCGTCCACATATTCTGTATAACTCTCTCATGTCCCCCTTCTTCCAGTCATAAAGCCCCAAATACCAACTCTTCGACATTAACTAAAAGGAAACGGTAAAGCTGAACAACCTATGAACATGTATGACATCTCTACCTCCATCCACAAATAACATCACAAACGGTTTCTTGCCAAGGAGACTTCAGAGAGATCCCTAAGATGCCCTGTGATGCCATTTCCAAAAAATAAAACAATAATCGCTTCCTGCAAATAACCATCCAAGCTGGAATGGAAGCATTGCCGGACAACGTGTTGACAGAGACAGTTCATCCAGAAGGGCACCACGGCTGATGGAACCGAAAACCACAGAAGTTCAGACTGGTTCGCTCCCCATTTCCCTCTTGAGAACAGGTGCTCTACAGGACAGCCAAGGCTGTTTCATCCCCAGATTGGGCCAAACAGATAATGCCTAAAATCATTCAGGGTAAGCTCATAAAGCATCAAAAAGTACCCTAAAATTTTACCCGAAGTACTAGATAACATTGTATGGGTCCGTACAACACGCTGGACTAAGGTCAGCTGAAGGTTGGGTAATTTGTGGTTTGTGGTTCAGTGGGCTATGGGAAGCCAACTCCTCCTTCACATGAACTGGACCACTATGTTCAGCAAGGGAATGGCTTGCATGGCCGAAGCATGCTATGTAAACACAGGAACTGGTTGATTAACCTGAGTTTAGGGTTGTGCCAACACAGCCACTGCTAAGATGTAATGGAGGCAGAGGAGAATCCTTTGCCAACTTCACTGCCACAAAGGGGCCTTGTAACAAGCCCTCACCTGCACTTCTCCATTTCCACTCCAGGCATCCTCTGAGTTGTCTCAGCTCCAAGGGAGACCAAGGGTGCAATCTGGATCTCATGGAAGGAAGACAGTGCTTGCTTGGAAGCAATCGTATTAACGTCTCTGGTCAACTTGGAGTCTGCTTCTCCTCTATTGCCAAGGTAGGATTAATCCCCTTCCCCACCCCACGGCAATCCATGAATCCTGGAAAACCCAACAGCTGCAAGCCTAGGGCCTACTCACTCGCTTCAAGACAGAAATATGGTAACCTAAGTTTACAACCACCCCATCACCTTCCCCATCCAGAGATTCCAAAAGACTTCAGGAAATGCTGATTTAACTATTGGTTTCAGTAGATCTAATCTAGCAAGTTTTGTTTGTTTTTTTAAATTAGGGGGGTTCCTAGTAAAGTAGGACATGAAGCTGGAAGAACAGTGAGCCCAGACTGTATCAGTCATGACATAAAGCAGTCTCAAGGGAAGCAAAATGGAAACTGTCTCCTTGATCTCAGGCCTTTATCCTAAATTTAAATGGATGGATGGATGGATGGATGGATGGATGGATGGATGATCCATCCCCAGGAACTCTGAGGAAGAAGCTGCAATCCTGAAGATCCTGCTTCCAAGCTAGATGAGCAAGAGCAGGAATGGCTTCTCAGTCCATATCCTTGAACATCACTATACTTGGTGATGCAACCTGGCAGAGCGGGAAGAGCTTCACCTTGTCCACACAATTCCGAAGGCCATTTTAGCATACTGAAAGCTACCCAAGGTACCTGCCCATATTGATTTGTGGGAAGTAAAGTTACATCACAGGCCACCTCTGAATGGAATGCTTCATGACTTCTGGGCATCAGCAGAAGCCAGACGGCCTCCCCGAGTGAGTTCTTCCCAGCTGAAGTCTAACCACTAAACTGCACGAGCAACCAAATTAGAACAAGAAGACAGCCAGGGATCCAGAAGGCTGAAACAAGTCACCAGCCAGGAGGAGGAGAATTGGGAAGCAGCTGCCAGATCCAGAATTAGCAGGAAGGAGATAGGGCCCTTGGGTGGGTCTTTAAGAGGTCTGACCCTTCAAGTCCTAGAGCCTTGTGACCCCAAAATGCAGACACCCCCCACCAGCTGGTCCTCTGTGCATCTCAGGCCACCACAAGCCCACTAGGCCCAGCCAGGCCCACCAAGCCTCTGCTTGGCTCCGATGCCCTTTCTGCGCCACCAAGAAAGATTCTGACACAGAGGCGTCAGCCGAAAGGCAGAGGCCCCCATTAACCAGTTAGGATACAGACATTTGTTGGTTGTACAAATAAAGCCACTTCATGCAACTGACCTGCCGGTTCCGTTCATCCGTAATCCTCTGGATCTGGATCTTTTTCCTCCCCATCTTCTCACGATATGGGATGACTCAATTTTTTTTATTTCAAAAAAATTAAAAAGAAAAAAAATGTTTTTCAAAGCGTTATCATCCAAAAAAACTTCTTTAAAAAAAAAAAAAAAAGCAAAAAAGTAGAAAAAAATTAAGAAGGCAAAAACAGAAGGGTAAATTTCTTCAGTTCATGATATTCCACTTGGTATAAATCCAGACGGGGGAGTTGTAAAAAAGAAAGGAAGAAGGAAGGAAGGAACCCTGCAAGAAAAAGAAGGGAGGAGAAGGGGTTAAAACCACTGCTTCCAGAATATGCTGGGTTTGGGATGGTCCGTGGGGCCAAACCAGCCGGGGCCACAAAGATGCGTGACCTGGACCTCTTTCCCTTTTTGATTCCTTTAAAACAAGCCAGGGATCCTGGCCCGTGCCAAGCGTCCACGCCCTCCTGGGGAAAGCACCGTGGGCACATTTCACCTACTTCTTCCCCATGGCGGTTCCGGGGCTGGGCTGCCCAGATCGGCCGGTGCCTGGCAAAATCCTCCTCGGGACCAGAAGCACCTCGGGAGGTGGTCGTGTGTGTGCTGGGGGGCCCCTCAACCCAGACCCTTTCTACTGCTACTTCTCTACAAACACACGGATGCTGCTTTTCGTTCTGGTTCTCCTTAGAAATAAAAGAATTTCATTCTGGCTTCCTCTTCTCACAGACAGCTGCTCCGTGTGATTGACAGTCCGCAATGTGCCTAAGTCGACGTGTGCCTAAAGTCCGACAATTCTACTTTCCAGCTGGTTTGCAAATCCAGCCCCTCTGCCATGACCCTGTGTGCGCAGACTATTATTTTAGTGCAGCTGGGGTGCGAGACAACCTCCCAACCCCCCGGCCTCCTCCCCGCCTGTCTTCTGCAGAGAGCAACCTGGGTCCCTCCCCCCCAAGCAATGGGGAAGGGCATCCTGGAGATGAGGCTGGGGGCTAAGAGTCTCTGGCTCCCTGGCCTGCAAAGACCCCCCAGCTCCTCCCGATATCTCACTTGGCAAAAACGCAAAGTCTCCATCAAGTCAGGCTTGACCTGGTTTTCTTCCAGGACTTTGCTTTGACTTCTCTGTCGGAGACTTTCTCCCATCCCAGTTCTAAGCCCTGCTCAATTTTTCTGAGGTCAGCCAAGGTCAGCTCGGTGCAACAAACACGTTCAGAAAGGCATGAAGACGCATGCCCCCCCAAAATGGAGAACTAAAGGATCAGTCGGAGGAATAGGTTACTAAATGGGGCTTTCAAATAGGGGCTGGAGAGTCATCTATGGGGATAGTGCAGTGAATCCTGTGTGCAGGGGGGTGGACTTGGTGACCGCTGAAGTCCCTCCCAACTCCGATTCCAGGGAGGACAGAGAAGGCCTCTGACACCCAGGGAGGTCAGAGATGCAACTGACCCTTTTCTCCTCCCCAGGAAGGAGGAGTGGGAAGTGGAAGAAAAGTTTCCACTCACAACACTTTCAAACCCCAGAACAGCACAACAGGAAGTGCAAACTGTACACACCTGGTCTGCGCAGGCACAAAAGAGCCACAACCAACCATCAATTCGTGGTTTGTCATTCTTTAAAAACAGCCATTTCCTACACTGGCACTCAGCTCTCTGAAAGAACGAGCGGTGCGGGAACCGCAACAGCCTTTGGGCCTGGGAGGTCAGAGTGCAAACCCCCTGCCGCCCCCAAGCCCCCATTCTTCAGGCCCCTCTACGTGGTTGTCCCTCAGCCAGTAGACCTTTGCCTGAGGGGAGGGGGCTTGGTGTCTGCCTTGCACCCCTGAGCTCCAGAGGATTCCAGGAGAACCCCACCCCAATTGTGCCTGGCAATTAGCTGTTCTTCCTAAAAAGTCCGTGCAACCGGCTCTCTGTTCTTTCCCTCCATGCAATTTCTGGTCCCGGCAGCTGAGGCGGGATCTCGGGGAGCCTAATGGCAACCCCCGAACTCACTGGTTATGAGCCGCCTTTGTTTCCCCCCAACCAAAGAGACCACCGGCCCCCGCACGCTGCATTGTTGGGCCAACTACCCCCCATCTCCTCTGTGTCCTGAATTCAGAAAAACTGTCTGCTCACCCCAAGCAAGTGTGGGACAGTCACGCTGTGTCTCGCACAGCCCATCTGAAGTCTATCGAAGGCAAATCATCCCGGGAGGCGAGCGGCACCGCGGGGCGCTCCGTCTCCCCCAAACAGTGGCTGGAGCAAGCCACCAAGGAAGACTTCCTCGGTGCACCTGGCCGGGAGCTGCGGTGCGTGTGGAGACGCAGTCGAGCCCCAGATCACATGCGCCGCGGGGAAAAGCACCCCTCTAGGCCTTCGTGCTGCAGATGCCAAGAGGTGCTTTTGTGCCCCGGGTCTCTGGGGAATCCTGGCAGTCCGAGGGGCGAGGCAAGACACGGCAGCTGGAAAGGAGCTGCCACTCAGAGCTCAGCCATGCAGGCCCTTCCTCCTGGCTCAGAGACGGCCACCTGCCATTTGTGGGAGATGTGAACGTGCAACGGAGCCTCCATCTCCAAGCCAGCCTTACACCCCTGCTGGAACTGGGGGGCTGTAGACAGGCGATGCAGCAGCAGGAAAGTGGTTCTCTCCAACGGAAAGTGGAGGAAGGCCTTTTAGGGCCACTGGTGTGTTGCCTGGAGAAGCCTGAGGGAGGCCCGCAACTGCGGGGCGCTCTGGCCATGGAGAGAGCAGAACCTCACCCAGCCACCAGTTTCTTTAATTTGGGGGGATTACTGCCCTCATGAAACCCCTATCCCTGTTTGCGCACAACACAGAACTAAAGGAACAGCTGCCAGCTGCACCCAAAGCAGCTGCCGCAGTGCCCAAGGTGGCACTTGGGGAGCCAGCAAGATGCCACCCTACCCTTCAACACAGCCCTTCTGCCAACCCCAAGAAGCGGCTGATGCCAAGCAAGATCCACACATTCATTAGTAGTGACTTCTCCTACTTTGGGGGGAAGATGCTGGACCTCTCCCACAACCTGCCACGCAAGAGTCCTCCCCAGCTGGGCTGTCTGGGCAGAGGCAAGTCCTGGTTCTGGACCCAGAGGCCATCAATATATTCAGTCAGAGAAAGAGGAGCCAAGGAAGGCTGCAAGGGAGGATGGCGGCAGCATTGCCTCTGCCCACACACTGGTCTTGTGCGCCACCAACACCGCCTTCCACAACAGCAGGGCTAGCCGGCTCCACGTGGCAGCAGTTGCAACCGACATGCCCGTCCCCGTCTCAAAGACAGGCGGACAGCGCTTCCTCAGCAGCCCCCAGGCAGCAGGGCAGAGTCCCACCAAGCCAAGCCTGCCCCATATCACAGCATCCGAGCCCCCGCC